CAAGTCAATAGCAATGGGAGTATTGAATACTACGTGCTCGGGGAGTAGACATTTTTCTGACATATGGACACGTTAAAAAACTATGACCTAGTACATGTGAAAACACCTTTACTCATGTTCATTCCCTCCTGGTTGGCACGACGTATCCTACATGGCGAATAATGCTACATGTAAAGATGTATTTAACATATTGGTATATAGGTACTAAGTTGGCAACATTTCACATGCTGGTTTAACTTTGCCTTTTGTTCAAACGGCTTGTGAAATGTTGTCATCTCAGTATCTGTAAATTCAATCTCTTAAACATACAAATACAAGTAGCATAATTTCATACATGACTGACTGATGGGGATGTAAATACAAGAAAATTTGAATATTTGTTTTATTTATATCCTCTATGATGTAATGGAAATGATGTCCAACTGCGTGGGTATAAGAAGATGCCGTGCTCAATTTGGATGCAATGAATTTCTAGGAAACTGTTTAGTTTGAGTGATGCTATGAGTACATAATTTTTATCTATAGGGGTTCACATAACACTCACATGAGTGTTATGTGAACCATTATGACCAAAAATTATGTACCACTAGCATTATTCGTTTAATTTTATTTATTATGGGCTTGTCTGGTGAAAATTTTCCTGGCCACAAAAATCAATTCTCCTACCGTTAGAGATCATGTCAGCCGCAACATTTGACCCACCTTCTCACAAGCGGGTCCCACTTACCATTACAAACGGTCAAAATATCAATTAGAATTGGGCAAGAATTCCTACCAGACATACCTTATATGTCATTGACTCCAAGTCTATGGCGAGTAGTTCAGGAAAATGTGCCTCTATCTCAAAGCACTTCTCTTCATCTTCATTGGACATTTTGGTGGGCACCATCATATGTAAGTGTTATGTGAACCATTATGGACAAAAATTATATACCATTAGCATTATTCGTTTAGTTTTGCTTATTATGCGCCTGCCTCTGGGAGAAATTTTTCTTCAAATTTTAATTGCTTTTTTTTACTGTTGCAATAGTAAGTAGCATGATATTTTTGACTTCTCCTTCACATTGATAGGACCCAGGCTGTCAAGTAAAGGTCAAATAATCAATTTTTTTCTCCAAAAAATCGGCTCCAGGCAGGGGCTATATGTCATTGACTCCAAGTCTATGGCGTGTAGTTCAGGAAAATGTGCCTCTATCTCAAAGCACTTCTCTTCATCTTCATTGGGACATTAGTCACTGGCTTCGGTCAGCATAGGGACAAAATATGAATCACCAATGTAAAATGACGACACAAACGGGAATACTCAAGTTAGGATCCCAAACCTTTGATCTGTGATGATGGACTCCTAAACCTTTCTATTTCTTACTCTCCTTAACAGCGTTTGGATCCAAATGAACGGAAACGTTTAATTAACTCTTAGAAACACGATATTTCATTCATTTAAAAAGACTTTTATATCCTAACTTTGAATTAGAACAAGGAAGAAAGAAAAAAAAGGAAATAAAATTCTGCCATCGTGGACAACTTTCCACCACTGCAACTTAGTTGTTATGTATTCGCGACCACCAAAAAAAAAAAAGAAATCCTAGCCTTCCCATGGCCAAAAACCACCATCCCAACCCAAAAAAATTGTCACTAGTACCACCACCATCTCCCTAGCCACATCCCCGTGGACCAGGGGCGGAGGCCACAGGCCCAATTTTTATAATGGAATTTTTTTAAATGAAAATTCATTTTTCTAGTAGATTTTTTTTTTTCAAATATACCAGCACAGTATAAATTTTTATTTGTCCTCCTGCCAACGGAAGTGCCAATGCCACTAACATAGCCCCATATTTTTGTTGTCACTAGGGATTACAAAATTTCCTGGCTCCGACAAGTCTTGCATTGTCCCATCCCCGTTTAGTAAATGGGGCAAAGAAGGTGAACATAGTCCTTGTCTCGAACACGAATCAATTATTATTTTTTATTAAATTTTATGGTTCCGTCCATTTGGATCTAAACACTACAAAATCGAATGGTTTAGGGACTCGGGTGCCATAAATAGAAAACAATATTTTCAACCACACATTTTTCAATAACATAATATTACATGCAAAGCTAAAACTTTTCTTTATTTTTTACTCACAAAATTCTCCATCAGAATATTATTTCAAAATGCATTGTGGACGGAAAAATGGGCTCAAACAGACTCAAAAATTGGATCCTGTTTACCGTAGTCTGAAAATTTGGCCAGATAGTTATTTTTTTGTCATATGGTTATTTGTTTTCATTAATTAAGTGGATTTACTAGATGATCTAGTCGCTGTTACCTTTATTTTTGCTGACAGTTCCGTATTTAAAGCTTTTTGGACAATTATTAACCAACCACTATATATATATATATAAGATGCAGTGTTCAAATTGGGTACGAAATGCTGACAACGAGATCATGATACACCTAGGAATCTTCATTTATTGTCTGATATTGACTTCAAGTCAATGGCAATCTTTCTCGAAAGTGGGGCCCCAATCTCTCTTCTATTAAAAGAGGGAATCTGTTGATTACTATTTATTTAGGACGTATTTTCATTTCCCATTTTATCCCCACTTTTTTCATCCCCATTTCCCCACTTTATCCTCATCATTTTGAAATATTTTTCATCCACATTTAATCAAAACAAAAGGGTAATATCGACTTCTTCCTTGCCCACAATTGTTGACTTTCTTCAAAAAAGTAATATGAAACAAAAAAAAAATCAATTGAAAATAACGGCAGTTGCTCAGACAAAAAAAAAAAAAAAGATCATTTTCCAATCAATAACATGCCTACACTTGTTCACTTTAATATTAAAAAAAAAATGCTCCGCACTCTACGGAGCTGTGCGCACTCTATGTAAATTTTTTTTTTCTTTCTTTCTTTTGGTTACTACAAATAATATATTAAAACAAAATTATTAAAAAAAAACACGATCCTAATACATTATCCTCGCTGAAAATACAATAAAATTAATCATATCCACTACGTTTTCTCTTTCACAATATTTTGAACCTACAAAAAAAAAAAAAAAATTAACAGATGATATTTTATATTTTTTA